AAACAAGGAGTGTTGACATCCCGCACAAATGATTTCCCCATTTTGATTGGCAACGGGAGAGAAGATATGCACAATGGCTTGCTGGTGTCTCATTCTCTTTCAGCACTTCACACAGAACTACTGTTCACTTGCGTTGTCGACATCGATGCTTCCAACTACACTTGCATCAAAGGCAGCCACGGGAGGATACACCGCCAAGGTGCCTGAGGCAAGGTTGTGAAGTTTAAGCTTTGGACAGTTCGACTATAGTAGATTTGTCCAAAAATGTAGCAAACGAGCTCTGCAAAGGATTGGAAATGGCACTTGCAACACCTCCAAATTGTGAGGGGAAGTAGGGCCTCGTGACTTCCTTAAGTCCGTTTTCTCAATAATTCCCAGACGGCGGAGGCAAAGCCTAGCGCAGTCGAGACCTGAGCATTGTTCGATCCAGTGAAAGGCCAAGCACGGAGAGAGCTGCCCTGACAACTTAGCGGCTTAGCGGCTTAGTGTTGAATGAAGAGAGCTGCAAGAAGCTGAGCTGGAAAGTTTCGTCGAAGTCTTTCTTGTTCTCAATCAAAGGTGGATTTTTCCTGCATGGCTGTGGAGGAGTGGATGCATTTAGCGTTCATGTGTGTTTGCACAACCTGCACTTTGCAAGGAAAGGCCACCTGTGACTGTTGTGACCTGCCGACTGAGGCTCCCATCGCAGCCAAGGCCGGAGAGCTCTTTTTTGTCCCTTGCACCAGGAAAGGGGCAAAGCTCAAGAAGGATCAAGAATACGTTTCCTCAAGTTAAAAGACAATTGAGAAACATTGACTTTGACTTTTTGTTGATGGTTAATTTGTGAACCAAGAGGATACCATGAGGATACCTTATCGTGGCTTTGCCAAGACGTTTGACAAGCATGACTCCTTTAGGTGTTTGTTCCAAGTTTATAAGCTCTGTGGCAATTATTTGCTTCCAGCAGGCGAAGTCCGGTGCTGTCAAGACCTGAGCACTTTCATTGTTGTTCCATCTATCGAATTCCAACGGAACATGGTGCATTTTCTCACAGTGTATACAGGGTTGTGTGAGTTCAAGCCGCAGTTTGCCTTGCATGGAGCATGTCTTTTCTCGAGCTTGTATTGAAAAGCAGCGTCCATCTTTGAAGTGCACTCTTTGTCTCGGCTAAGAGTTGATCTTTTGTGCATTTCTGTGAGGGGTGGTTGTGTTCAGCGTTCAGCTTTGTCGCAACTGTGCATCTAGCCTGAACTTGAGGAACCGCCCGCCGCAGATGCATCTCCCACTCGAAAGGCCTGAGAGTTTGCTTCCTTTCGATTTAGACAGTTTCTCTCAAACCAATCTTAAGGATGCATACCGAACAGATGGCATGTGGTACGGGAAGAATGGCAAAGACTATTGTAACTCTTGTCCTTTCAGTGTTGACTTGCCGGATGATTCCAGGTTTGTGGTTTTGCCCATGTGTCTTGAGCAATACTTTTCTTGTCGAAACATGCTATGTGCTACCCAACAAGAACCGTTCATGGCTGTCACCTGCTGGCAAATATAGAGCTTAATTATGAACCAGGTGGTTTTCCTCTCAATGGTGCTCCGGCAAGCCCTTTTTCTATCTCCATTTCCGGTGCAAAGCATCTATGTGACATTCTTCAGGTTCCTTTGAAAAGGTTCGCTTCAGGAAGCCTCCGAAAGTTGTGTGCCCTCCTGGAACAGAGCTCCTCGCATTGTTTCGGGTGAACATGGGTGGACCTCGTTCGTTGTGCGGCAAAAGAACACCTTGTTCTTTCCAATGTGCTAGTAGTACAAAAGGTCACGAGGTCGCAGTCCCAAGAAGCTCCAAAAGCATACACAGTTCGCTCCTTGTGCGTTGCAGACTTGTTTGACTCGCTTGTGTCACACAGGCTTTAGTAGTGAGGCTCCGTGAGTCTCCCAAGAAATATGTCGCTTACGCCGTAGGTGCCATCGAGTATCTGGGAAACCAAGCATGTTCTGTGCACACTCTTCTCCACATGTTGGTGCCACATTGGCAAACCTATTGCTAGGAAGTGTGCACAGATGATCGGTTCTGTTTTTGATTTATCTGCGCCCATGGCAAAGCATAGCTTCTCCATGGTGTCCAGCACGCCTTTGAGACGTGCTTCCTTGAGTGAATTGAGTCGATCATGAAAGGACCCAAACGCCAAACGTTCGACCTTCGACGGGGTGAAGAAGGCAGTCCCGGTGAGAGTTTCACCAAGCAGATGAGCCACCAAGGGACTTCGTGCCACTTCGTGCCACTTCGTGCCATCGAAACATGATTGGAAGATGTCTTTGTGATTTTGGTTTGGATCGCAAAACGAACGTCATTGGCAATGAACCATCCCCGGTTTTTGACCACTTGGAAAGGTTTTTCCCCACAAAACCTGCCAGTGGGCCAGGCAACACTGCATCACTCGCTCCGCCGCTCTGCCGCTCGGTGCAGGGCCTTGATGTCCGGACCATGAGATGGTATTCGCACTACCTCCACAGCATTTACATGATGATTGACAGCTGCTTCGATGAAGAAGCAACAGGACTGGAGATCTTTCGTGGAGAACACGTGTTGCTCTTTATGAGCATGCGTTGATGCCCACCACTGTCAGTGCCAGGCATTGTCATGGTGGGCCTTCAGCCCACCATTGACCGCGAAATGACATGCCTGGAATGGCCATGTTTGCAGCAAGATTTGCAAGAACCTTAGGCCCTCTGTGTTTTGCAGCGAGACCAGGCCAAGAGATCCCAGTGCCGCCTACATCATTTCTGACCGGTTCACCGGTGATGCCCAAAATGACTTTGGTGTTCGAGCTAAGGCGATTGGCGTTTCAGGAAGAGAAGCATCCCTTCTTTAGTGGTGGCAAGAAACGCCTGGAGTTTGATGACATCACGTTTAAGCGTGTGAGGTTGGAAGATCTAGGCAGCTTGGAAACAGTTTTGGGTGCAAGTCGGCAGTCTCGGTTCGAAAGTCATTTAGACTTCAAAGAATTGGCCAGTAACATCGCCTACTATACTACACGCTTGCTTTTTACGAAGGCCAGATGTGGGTAGAGATGGGTCAAGTCATGGAATCATTCTTGTTCTCGTGTTACACCCAATAATTAAGTGAAGCGTAGAACCTGAAGCTGGACCACTTGAAGTACTAGTTTCCTCTATACCGGTGGCTTTCAGGTTCTATATGTTCTAACCCGCTGAAGTTTGTGCCTGTTTGGATTTCTGATGGAATTTACTGAGGCGAAGAGCTTGAGGTGAGCACCAGGAGAGGAAAGTATGCCATCATTGCTTCCTGCACCGACACGCATTTCGAAGCTGCAGCCACGGCTATGCGAGAGCACAACCGAAGAGCTCTGGAGGGACATGGCAAAGCATGGTGCTCAGATTTATTTTTGAATTATGTCCCACTTTTTTCTTCAGCTTCTTCAGCTTTACTTGGAGATCTTGGACCTGTGTAAAGAAAGACTTTTGGGGAGTGCCATTTAGGTCAGAAAGGCCTGGGCAACTGCCAACGACGAGTATGGCCGGCCGACGCATCCATAGATCTGAGGATGGGTTGATCATCTCTTTGCTACGAATGCCCTCCGCAAAACTAGAAGAGTGGAAACAAATCCCATTGCCTCAAGATCACGGCTACGATGTACTTGCATTGACTGCTTTCATAACTTTGGAGAATTGGGTTCTGCTGTGCCTCCCCCCGTTGTGCCTCGCGGTTTTTCTGTTGCGATGCAGTCTTTCGAAAAACAGGATCGAGAAATCCGTTCGTCGGTGAAATCTGTTTCTGTGGACCTTTGCAGGACATGCTCTTCGTCACCAGCTCGCAGGACTGAAGGCCTTCTTGTGTGTCTCACCAGCTTAGCTCCCGATGAACTCGGCAGCCACACCGGTACTGAAGTGTTCTGAAGTTCATTTGTAAATGACCGGTACTCAAGAACTGTTAAGAACCGGCGTGGGTTGCCGCACTTGCACCATTCTGCTGCCTGCTGCGCGCGGCACTGGCATCCCGGCTGGATAGCAGGGCCTCACAAGGATCTAAACAGGGCGAGCTATGGCAACGATAGTGCCAACGATAACACCGCAAAGCTCCACAGCTTTCGGAGTCAGTTTGGTTTCATGAAACGTGACAGCTTGAGAGTCGGACCGCCCTGTTCGATCGGCTTCAAGGCTTGTGGGTTCTGCAAGGCAGGGTTTCATCGGACTTCCAGCCAGCGGCGCTCGAAAAAAGATCTCGCATCAAGCGCGCGCGGGAGCATGTGGCTTTCAGGTTTCGATGGAAATGCCTCGCTTTCCCGTGGAGACCTTGACGTTGGTTCTTCAGAGTTTGTTTATGAACGTGTAGCTCGGTGTAAGGTACGCAAGGAGGTGACCACAGCCGCACGAGATGTATGTTTAACCGCCAATGGTCTCTTTCCATTATTCACCCTGTTATACATCGTCATTTGGCCGAAAGCACACTGAAACAAGTATCACCTAACAAAATCAGTCAACCATGTTGCAAACTGCCCGTGAGGATTTCATGAGCATCCTGTTCATTGGTCTTGTCACAGTGCTGCTCATTTAGGTTCTAGTATATAGATTCAAGCCACATCAAAGTTATCTTCATCGCCGGCCCTGCTCAAGCTGCTGTTCCATGTTGACCAAGCTGGATGTTCTTCGACAATACTGCTCGACATAGTCAGCACGACGCATGGAAACAGACCCTTCACCATTGACGGCTGCGCTCGACCCAAGAGTAGCCCTCAGCCAAGAGTTCTGAGGGCCTCACCATGATCCACCTAGAGTATTTTGTGCGTTTTGGTAGGGTCTTTCTATCCTTGGAGACCAAGACCTCAGCAGTTCTTTCAATGACAATATTGGCAAATTGTATTATGCACCTTTTAATGTGATTGACTCGCAGTTGCATGCAGTTGTCATGTCGAGTGTTTTTCACAATGTCCCAGCTACAGCTTTCGTGGAAGACTCATGGCCAACCAGCCTAAACGCAGCTGTACCTCACAAGGAGCTCAATTGCCAGTGCCATGGGCCTCCACCCTTCCCGACCATGCACCCTGGAGACGGAAGGGAAGGCTTGTGGATTTGAGTCTTCATGAGGTCAGGAAGGAGCACGCGTTGGAACACTCCAAGTCTGGACCACTGTATATAGGGTTTTGTTACACAAACCGTTTACTGTTGGGGTTCTCTTAGGAAAAAAGACACTGGCCGCAGTCTGTGGCTACGCCCCTTCACCCTTGTCGACGTGTGCTTTTAACACAAACTTTTTGCGTTCGACGGGACGAAGCAGTTTCTGCAGTGTGAACTATGTGCTAGGAGGAACCGTGACATAACCAGGGACTGACAAGAATGGCGATAAACCCAATGTGTGGGTTCCAATCACAACATGAAAGATTTCCCCTTCAACATCCAAAGACCTCAAAGTCACAAAGTCAAAGACTTGAAGTTTTGAGAATACGATGTTTTCGACATGACGTTGGTAACTTCTTCTTCTTATTCTTCTTCTTCTTCTTCTTCTTCTTCTTCTTCTTCTTCTTCTTCTTCTTCTTCTTCTCACGCGAGATGCACGTGACATCAGGTGCCCCGATTCGTCATGCACTTCGCACGTGCCGGAAGAACCTCTCCGCAGCTGCCAGGCCCGTCAGAGCGAGTCCGATCTTCGAAGCCTGCCGAGCCGTTGGATCTTCTTCCTGGACCCTGCGAGTCTCCTGCGCACGGGGGACTCGGTGTCGGTGGCCGTCCTCACTTTTCATCTCGCACAGACGGTGTTGATTCACCGCGAAACACTCTTGGTCCGAGGTCTCCAGGTGGCTCCGGTGCGATTGGACCAGGCCACGTCGCTCCCGCGTTGGAAGACCGGTGACATGTGTTTGGAAAACGTGGAAGAGATGTGGAGAGATGGGTATCATTGAAGTCTCGCGATGTTTTGGAGATCAAGCGTTTGCAGAAGGGAGGATGGAATGATGAACTTGGAGTTTGTTGGGGACTGCAGCAACGCTAGCTGAATGATTGGCTACGATTTCTTGTGTTTTGGGGATCCACATATCAGTCATCTCCTCTAGATCCGTTCCAAGCCTAATCCTTTCTGCTTACATCCGCGTAGAAACCGAGTTAACAGACATGACAGATAAGTCTAATTCTCTTAAGAGATGTCGAAGAGGTGGAGCTTCACCTAGCCTGTGCGTGTGCGTTCCGTTCAGAAATGTCGGCTTCCTAGGATCTGTAGTATGTTCCTTCATGATTGCTGCATGATGAAGACCAGACTATGAATGGTGGGTTGTCATTCATTGTTGATTGTTCATGATTGTTCATGTCAATACCTCTTCGAGATTCAAATGCTGACCATCTCCAAGTGCGATGACAGGAATTGGAGCAATGGGCCTGGAAAGAGATCTGTGCCACGGAGACGTGTTGATCGGTTGCGTGGGAGAAGAGACCAAGTCACCCTTATTGCATGAGCTGTCCGGGAAGTGGGAAGTGGGTGTACAACCCAGTGGCCGTCTTTGCGGCCAGCGAAATGAGGTAGTCGGGGCCATTGCAACAAGAGATGTGTTTGTTTCTCCTTCTAGCGGATTGTATCCTGCCAATACAAACGATGCTCTCTCGAAAGGGACGGAGACTTATGGTTGCAGCTTTGACGATCCCATCCGCTCCGACCGCTCCCAAAGCTGCGAAACGATGCAAATGTGATTCGCAGCAAACCGGCCAGACCGCTTCGAGTTGGATTTTGGAGGAAGAATTGTTTGTGGATTTAAAGAGGGAGACCTCCCTGTTCCAATGGGTGGACTGGTTCATATATTCTTTCGATCAGAGGTTCTCCATATATCTCATCTTGCCTCAGGAGCTGAGCCTTTCGAGCAGCTCAAGGCTTCATCCGACAGGATCAACTCCAGGTGCAGCCACTCGCAGCGCCGCGCCGTGCCGAGCGCAGCGGAGCGGTGGTGTCTCCGATGTTGGGCAACGTCATCGGCATGTACACCTCCTTTTGCATCCTTTTGCCATTCTGGAACGGAAACCGCCACCTCTCCAAAACTCCACAGGGAGCCCTTCCTTTTTGTTGGAGTTCCGTCAGCTGACCCCAACTTCGGACCAAAGCCGAGGATCGGTTGTTGGGTTTGGGGCCCCAGCTTTGGGACCGCCTTTCAAGTCGGTGAGGAGCTGGCTCATCGTCTTCGCAGCTTCGGTCGAGCTCACTGCGCTGGGATTGGCGCCGTCCGGTGGCCCAGGGGTGTGCAGTCGGGAGCAAAGAATTGCAGAAGTCATGGTTTGAAAGAATCTGAAAGAATGTTAATTAACCAGAAAGAATGTGAATTGAATTAAGATTGTTGATAGAAATTTGAAAGAATCTTTGGAGAAGTCATGGCTTAACATTCTCTGAAAGAATCGTGTTTTTCGTGGATAGCCCCTGAAGACCAAACAGCTGGTCAACTCCACGTAACCATGATGTGTTTTCAGCGGAGTGTCGTTCCATGTTTCTCATACGGCGTCCACTGACGGCCCTTATACAGAGCTCTTGTTGCCATCTCCGCCTCCATCTCTGGCTCCACATCCGGCTCTCCACTGACGGCTCCGGCACTCCAGGGGCCTTTTACGACCTGGACCTCTCTCGCCTCAACGAGCTCCGGGCGACCTCCCAGGACTACGAGTTCCTGCGGCTTGGTCATCGTTTAGGTCGGTCTACATCCATCGTTCTATTGCGGAGGTTAGTTTGAGATCGTGTTGTTTTTGTTTTTTTCAAAAAGAATTCAAAGGGACATCAAGAAACAAACATCAGTAAAAGATGATGAGGTGCCACATGAGTGCGTTCTTTCAAAAAAGGGCGATGGGATGGCCGAAACGGGTTCTGAAACAAAATCGATGATGACTGAAACGGGTGATGGTTGCTAAGGCCCAGCCTCTATGGTGAACCGGCCTGTGCACCTGAGGGCGTCTCCTTCGCCACGCGCGGCGGGAGGACCGCAACATCCAGCCATCCACTTCTGAATCCCGACCTTTTGGTGTCTTAGATATCCTTCCAAGTTGGCTTCACCAAAAGGTCTTCACCTGGCTGTCACATGGAAAGTCGGCTTTGAAGTCCTTAAATATCCTTCACTTTTCTTCACCTTTTTGGTCCTTCACATGGCCTTCGCCCCTCACCCCATTCCTTCAGCATGCAGCTAGAGGACTGTTGATTGCAGTTTGAACCCTCGATACCTGGGCCGTGATCGCTGCTTGCTGGCCCGTTGGCCCCTGAGCGCGGCGCTGGCCGCCACGGCCGTGGCCAAGGGCCCGGGCGACGCCGTGGCCTATCGCCGCGTCGGGTACTACGAGGCGCGGTCGCTGTGCTCAACGGGCCCAACTGGGACCTGCACCAACTGCCTCAACGGGCTGAATGGACACTTCCCAACTTCGTGTGAGCTCTGAGACTGTTGGCATCTTGTGGCATCTTGTGACTTTTTGATTTGTTTTTTTTAATCCAAATGCCTGACATGGATGATGTCCGTGAAATCTTCAAGGACTTCCCTAATACGAGACTTCCTTTGGGACTTCCTTATGCGGGTCTTGCGGTTCCAGGTGACCATTGGCAACGAAAACGAACACGAAGCGGTCCTCCCGTGCATCTCTGTGGGTCTTTGCAGCCCGCGCTTCTCGCGGTATGCGGTGGCCAGGCGGGCGCGGCCTTCGGGCCGCGGGGGTTGCGAAGGTGTCAAGGAATTTGAGGTTGCTGAGGTTGAGTTTATTTTCTTTTTCGCTATTGGTTTGTGGATGTTTATGGATGTGTTGAGCGTTTGAAGTTGTCATAAGCTGTGCTTCGCAAAGTTGATGAACACACGGGTTCTGCCTTCTTCCTCATCCTGAACATCATTCTGAGTACCCATTTCAGTAATTACCCACAGAGAGAGATTGAAGACCTGCACGGGACACTTTTGCCAGGCAACAAGCCGGCTGGGACAGCGAATCCTGGGCTTTGCACAGCCCTTCGGCCGACACCACACCAAAGAGCGCGTTGCGTTGCACGTTTTCGCGCGTGGGGCGTGAGATGCTGAGACATGACAATGGGGGGTCCAAGAGATGAGAGTCTAGTGTGTGGTTGCGTTTTGTTTTGACATGTTGTTTTCAAGAAGCACACAGTCGCCAACATGGTCACTGTCTTTGCTTTGGTTTTGGTTAGCCGTATGGTGTAGAAGCCACCAGAACCACCAATCGAGATGTGTGGCATCTCTCAAGGCGAGCCCAAGGCGAGTAGGGGGGCAAAGGCATGAAGATGAAGATGAAGTCATAGAAGCACCTGGTGGGTTTCGCTGCGAAACGGAAGCCCATGGTGGGGAAAAGTTGTGCCTGAAACAGGTTTGACGCCTTGGTTCCAGCAAAGCAAGTTTAGCAGGTTGCATTGAGTTTTTGTTTGCCTTGATTCACTGAACTGCAGTATGACCGTCCCCCTTCCAGGTGATGATGGGCTCCTCTTTCATGCTTCCAACCGTGGCTATCCCTTCGACAGACGCTTGGATGTATTTAAGACATGCTTCCTCACTGTCAAGCTGAGATGTCTTGAACATGTTTTTGAGTATCCAGTATTGTATTGGCCTGTTTTGTCCGAGAAATACAGATGTAAACGGGATGCTTGGAAACAGCAAACAAACCTGATCGCTGATACTGTACTGTATCCCTTCCCAAAGTCAGGGTACAAACACCTTTTTAGAGCTTTGTCAGGACTGCTGATTAATCATTTGAGAACGTCAGTGATGACGTGAATTGGTGCGAACCTTTGAACGTTTGAAGCCTATTTTGAGGTTTGTCGGGCTGTGCCACCAGCTTTGGCCCTTCAGACACTCTGGGCTGTGGCATTTACCAAGCGCCGGAGGAGGGCAGCGCAGGCGAAGTGTGGCGAGATGGGAAGACTTCGTTTGGGATCGTTGAACTCCAGATGGGAAGTGAAGAACCAGCGAAGGCTTAACGGGCTTAATGGCTGTAACGTAAGGTCTCACTGTCAACGTTTCGGTGTGGCTCCCTTGGCCCAAAATGCGACCTTCAGATCCTCGAATGAAGGGCTCGCTTTTTGAATCTGGAAGAACGTGTTCATCGACATGAGCGTGACCCACACCGTGACCTAACAAGTCTGTGGGATGAACCGCTTCAGTAAATGATTGGTTCGCAGCCACCGTATGGGGTAGACCATGTGGTTTCATCGTGTGCCCTACCCCCTACCAGTAATTCTAGAGAGCAGGTGTGCTTCGGAGAGCACACACTAAAAAAACTGTGCAACTTTGATGCACTTACCACGAATGGTTGCTGCGCGACAAAGTTTAAGACTAAACAAAAAAAAACAAACAAACAAAAGCAAAAACAAAAATAAACATATATAAACACACACAAAAAAATAAAAATAAAACATGTTTGAGACAAAATGGATGCAAAACCAAAAAAAAGTGGGGAAATCCAACTCCTATAGTACCCCCATTTTGTCTCAAACATTGTTCTTTTTGGTGTTTATGGTTTTTTGTTGTGTTTGTTTTTTGCTTGTTTTTTTTGTTTTGTTGTTTTTTTGGTTTTGTAGTATTCCCTCAAAACCGTTATAGGCCTGGCCCTCACAAAATTGATCTAACAATAGCTGAAAACCTAGGTTTTGGTGATGTTTTAGCCAAAAATCACTGTGCAGCACAATGTTTTTGATCACTTCTTGCACAAGAAACATCTCCCAGGAGCACCCGTTCTGTAATTCTATGGGGTATTTACGGTGAAGGAAGATGAAGCATGATTTGATGGGTTCTTTGGGAAAGAATCTCCAAACATAGATCAACAGATGAACTGATGGATTTGAGGGGTCCTTTTTCCCGGTTTTAAAGGATTCCTTTAAAGGGAAGTGTCTGAAGTGTCCACATCCCAAGACCTCCCCGTTTCTGATCGAGCCGTGTGCAGGTCTTGAAGAGGTTGCGAAAGCACCTCGGAAGATCTTCTACACGTTGAATGGGACTCTCTTGGGTGGGCGCCTGAGAGGCATCCGGACGCAAAAATGCACATCTTCAGATTCAAAAGACCAGGTTCACGCCAAACAAAGCGTTGAACCGTTTTGTTTTCTGAGCACCAAGCACAAAACCTCAGATTTGACTTTTCCACCAGGATTGTGTCTAATATGTTCCTAGTTTGTATTCCATGGTAAGTCGGAGTTATTTGTCAATCTCTTTCAACTGAACCTATTTCTAGCTCGTTGTGGCTTTTGTCTAGCCGTGTTGCTGCGGATGATTCGATCAAAAGAACTTTCGTTGAAATGCACCAAGAAGAAGTCACACGATATCTCCTAGGCTCCGGTACGCCAACATGTTTCTGCGCCTTCCATTGAGAAAAGCATGTTCCTTCCTAACCCGCAAAACACGAGAAAAGGCGTCCAGAGTCCAAAGTGATGGTTCAGCATGTGGCTTTGCCTCTAAGCAAAACCCAGGCTTTGCTTTTGACTTAGACCTCCCAGCAGATGTTCCGCTCTGGCCATGTGTGGGGAAGCCTGGCGAGACTGATGGATGCCCTTAATCATTCTGGCATGAGGAACCATTCTGAATATACAATTTGTTTCAAATGCAAAGATCACACCCCATACCTAGTGTCGAAGGAAGCACTCTTGTACCACAGAGGCTTTTGAGTGTGTTTCAGGATTCCAAGCTGGTGGAAGATGGATCCCTGCAACTGGATCCTCCCGCTTTCCTACTTCCAAAATCCGAAGCTTTGGAGCTCCAATGTCCTGAGGTTTGTAGGGACGTGGACCAAGCTTGTGGCAATCCTCAAGTTATCTCCATCCAAGTTTGTGGCACTCGATGCTTCCGTTAGGGAGCCGATGCCAACGACGTGTTGTGATGCCCACCAGATGAGATCTTAGCCACGTTCCAACGGAGGTGTTTTGGGCTTCGACCCTTGGTAGTGCTTTGTTTTTTGGTCCAGGGATTCACCAGGTAGACTTGAGATCTTTGCATTTTTGGCAAAACCAGTTGTCACAGTGTCCATTTGCAGATATATTAGTTGTTCTATAAAACTAATGCTTGCTTGCTATCCACCTTTTCCATCGAGTTGCTTCAAGAAAGGATGCTATGGCCGGCAAGAAATCACAAGGAGGGTTCGGAGGTGGGTTCGGATTCATGTAAACCTTGGCCTGTTGAATCCTTTCTTGAGCTCCAAACGCCAAGAGCTGGCATCCTGGAATAAATACGTAAGTCTGACCACCGCACGGTGGTCATTGGTCCGAAACATCGCGAAACGGTGAAAGAAGGGCACCGTGGAAAAATGGAAATGCAACATGCAGGTTGGCTTAGACACGAAGCAGTGGCCCGGATGCTCGGAAAGAGCTCGGTTTAGTGCTCGGAGGTGCTAGAGTGGCAGTCGTCGAGGTGTCGTCAAAGCATTGTGCATACAGTTGTCTTGATTTGGGGAGATTAAATCTGTGCTGGCCGTTTTGCTTGTTTGGCTGGCGGCGACAGTTTGGTTGTTTTGTGGTCGCTGTTGGTTGGATTGGGACAGAGCAACTCTGGTGACAGCTTCAAGTTGAAGAGAATACTGTCTTTGCCTCCAAATTCATCCAAATTCGATGACATTCTTTAAGCTTGGACAGTTTCTGATATTTATAGATAAGCCAATCTTTCAGCGCAAAAGCAGTGGAGAGAAAGATGGTACGGTACCGTTATGACATACCATTCTTTTTGCTCAAGATGCACCAAATAGACTGTTTTTAGACTCCACTGGTAGTGGACTAGCATGTACATTGGTGCTCAAAAGAAATGGAGCTTGTTGTGTGTCTCTGCATGTTCATTATCTCATGCATCCCTCCAACACAAAACATGTCCTCGTCCATGGCGGCCGGAAGGTTATCCTTCAACTTCGGGAGCGAACCCTTCAAGTTCGACCTGGATGAGTTGTCTCCCTTGGAGGAGACATCCACGTGTTGGTCGGTCCTTTCTTTCCGTCACAGACAGTACGGTCGTGGCGCATATTTTGTCTTGGTAAATGTTGATGTGTGTTTGAGCCTAGGTTCTTGCTCTCCAAGCTCTTTGGATCTATTTGGAATGTAACAATAGTTGAACATATCTCAATCTCGTGAAATCTCGTGGATGCGTGACATGTTCTTGCAATGGTCTTGGCATTCCTTGGAAAAAGTCATATCGATCATCAGCTTCATTTCGCGACTCGGCCAAAGTCTAGGCCATTCCCATGGAGAATGGGCTGAGTGAGCAAACGCCTGAACACAAGACAAAAATCGGCAAATTGCTCAGGCTCACTCTTGGCCAATCTTTGCGACCTCAATCATGCTGGAACCCCCAAAAGGTGTTTCCTCCCTAAATAGATGACCCACTGCTGAATGTACATCCGGTGTAGGAATACATAGGAATACATAGGAATACGGAAGACCACAGCCAATTCCGGCCACGGGCGCCCTTTGTGACGCCCTTCGTGGCTTCGCGGTGAGGTGACTCTGAAGACGCCCTTCGACAGCCTCGCTGGGGCGCCAAATCGATTGGGCGCTGAAGATGGCTGAAATCGGAATCCAGTCAGAGCATGTTAGAGCGCTGTTAGAGCGCTGTCAGAGCATGTTAGAGCGAGGGATTGGTAGCTGTTTTTATATGAACATGTGGATCTTCGGTTTCGTCGTTCTTCGGTGTGGTGGTGCACGACAAATTTCAGCACTGAGTTTGTGGCGTTTGCACTAGGTGGCACTCTTGCCATGTTGTCGATGTTGTGGTGTATGTTGTGGTGCATATACATTTTAAAGACCTAGATTTGGCGGGCATTGCCTCTTCCAAGTAGCTGGGCCAATCTGCAGCATGGCAAATTGAAAGCAAAAGGACAATTGGATGAAGCTAAGAGAGTTTCCAGACCTGAAGCGTGTCTCATACACAAGACCTGATCAAACCCGATCAACGATTCAAATCATGGCAAATCTCAAACTGTTCTCCAAAAAGGCCCTCCTCCAACTTGCGCGCGATGTTCTACAAATATTGTTCTCGCCAATTCTTGACCATGGGCGGCGCGCTCCAGGATTTCACGCCAGTCTGGACCTCAGGTGAAAATGCACTGGGCGCATACTACATTGCCATACAATGAATGGAAATTGTTTTTCAATACAGGAACCTCCCAAATCCACAGTTCCAGATATTCAGCAGGAAAGGAAGACTACTGCCGGGGACCATTTGGACGCATTCCATTGAATTAGGGAGGATTTGAGTGCGGACAGGCTGGACCGAAGTTGCTGCGAACGAGATGACTGCTTAGAGGGTGCAGGGGCAGAGCGAGACAAAATCTGACTAAACCTGAAAACCTGGTGCTTCTAATTGCTGGTACAATTTGTGTGCACTGGTGATGCAGAACATGCCAGGCTAAAACTGTATGCATCACTGGCATCATCAATTCACTTGGAGGGTACTGTCAACAACAATATGTTCATGTTATAACATTAAGAAGGATTTGAGTGTCAGCCCTGTGAATAGTTGCTCCAGTTTGAGCAAGTTGGACATGCATAAAATGCACGTCTGAACTGGTCAGCATAACTTGCATCATCAATACAGTTGTATGTTTATCAGGTCCATGAAATCATCAAAATACTTGCACCAGAACACCGCTCAAGACCTTCAATAGGCAGCCCAGCAGCAGAAACAGCTCGTTCTTTTTTCAAAATCTCTAGTGCTGATGTGCCACAGCCTGACGGCCTGTCACAATACCCTCCTTTAGGTTCGCCATGCTAAGGCGGATCCCGTCCAAGGCAAGAGACTGGGCTGTGAGGGTCTGATGGGTGTTGTGCAGCCGATTCCTTGAAGACACATATAGGCTAGGAGTCTTGGAGTCTTGGTCCAAGGCCACTTGAAAAAAAAGAGTGGACGCCCAGCATGTTTGGACGCAATTCTCCATACGCAATGTTTGGAGATGTTTTGCCACGTGGTCCATTGCCACGTGTGGTTTTGTGGGATTCAAGGGCCAGCTTCCGCAAATGGATTCGCTTGAATCCAGCCTTGCCGCAACTCTTTTCTGCTTAAGCATCAGAATGACAACAGAGGACGATGGCCACAGAAGGATGACTGACAAAGGTGGCTGACAACATCCAGAAAGCAAAAATACCGAAAACCCCAAGACCCGAAGTAACAGCCAACAACAGATTTTCTGTGATCGAAGTTGCATTTCATTTACGTGGCTTACATGCACATCAAAAACAACAAATAGATGTTTGGTTGGAGGATCGTGAAGGATCGGACCAAGAGGTGTCCAAACGATGTTCGCTACTAGGAACAAGTGCATCGCTACTAGTAACAAGTGCCTTACTAGTAGTAACAATGTTAGCTATTAGAAACAATAAGCTAGTAGCCGAAAAAAGCGCCAGGCCGTGCCACACACGCCACGCTTTCACGTCAGCACAGGGCGCCACGCCACGCTGCAGCGCGCAGCGATGCCATGAGCCTGTTCGTGGCGTCCGTCGGTGCGTCCTGGGCTCCTTTGGGCCGTTTGCCCCTGCGGAAGCCCAGCAGGACCGGTGTGTTCTTACCGGTCTGTGGGCGATGGGCCACTCCAGTCCAGAGGAGAGAGACGGAAGGGAACAGGGAAGAGTTTCTTGGGACTTCACTTTCTTTTGCTGGCACTTTGTTTTGGAGATTAGAAGTTGATCATGTCATGAGTATGAACTGTGATCGGCTAGAATAACCAAAGCAGTGGGTTTCTCTTGCTGAACATCGCTCAGATACTGTAATACTTTTTGGTGCAAGTGCATCTTACACCGTTTGCGCAGTGCACGTCATCGTGGCAGGATTCCATGTTTTAATCGACCAGACGGAGGCCAGCTCTGCACAGATGTCACAGCATTTGGATCCTGATGTGTACGGTGCTCCAAACGGCTTCCGACTTGTTTCGGGTGAAAAAGACATGGCATGGGTATTTTTGACAGGGGTGGCCAATTTGCTTTGGTTTGTTCAATCCTGAAGGGAAAAGTGATCTAAAACAAGCTAGTTACTTATCAAACGTTTGATCAAGCAATTGCTTATCAAGCTACACCAAGAGTTGCCTGGACGTTTTAGGCCGAAGATGGCAGAGGTTTCAGTTTGTCTTCTGCACGGTGGCCCCCACTGACCTCCGACTTCCGCAAGGTGCGTCCGAAGACATGCTCCATGCGCTGCGGAAGTACCGGAACTGGCTGCCGCGCAACAAGCGCAAGGCGGACTCCGGAGAGAGAGCCCGTGGAGGGTTTGAACGTTCCGGCGCGTCCAGTGAGGTGTCAGGTTTCAGCGCCCCTGACACAGAGGAACAGGATCACATTGCGTCCAGAGCAACCAATCAACATCCAATGGGATTTCCGACTGTTTGTTTTTGAATATCGAATGTCCAATCGCTCGAGTAGGAGTATAGTTTATGCTGGGCTACAAATCTGGATGGGCTTAAGATTGCTCGAGCTACACGGCTCTCGGAAAGTGCAGATTGGCCGCGTTGCAGAGAGGTAAGGCGACCATCAGACATCCATAAGTGATGCTTACTGCTTTTTGTACTGCTCCCTTGGTCAGCAACTCCACAGCCCCCCCACCATCAACTTGCTTCAGTAGCAGATTGCTCTGGTTGCTTGTTGATCTTGTTGCTGTCACAACCGTTTGATGTGAGGGCCATGTGATCTGGTCTGGATCTTCTCCCAGGTGGCTCAGCAGATGCCTAAGACGGGCATTTGCCAAGGCTTCACCTTGGGCCTCACGACGGACTATAAAGTTGGAGGTCAAGGCCATACTCGTGGGTACGATCGGGTGCCGGTCCATCGTTCTTGGGTCGATTGCACCTGATTTGAGGTACAAGGGTAACCGGCAATGCATGAGTTGATTCTTTCAATTTCACCTCTAATTAATTTCTGGGGTGGAAAACGACCTCCAACCAGTGGAAGATGATTGGACATAAAACCAGTTGCGACCCGTGGTGACCTGGGATTCTGTCGACTGGTGTCGTTGCCACAGTTGTGGAGGTTCACTTTGATTTGAGTCTGTTTGAAGACCAGAGACCTTCAAAGCTTCCAGCACTTCGTCATTCTTGGATTCAACAGTGCCAAAGACTGCAACTTTCAGCACAGCTGCTTGAAACAATGCCCAAGAAACCTCTGAGTGAATGGATTCCTAGCAACTGAGATTGAATTCGTGCTGTCATTCCGTTTGCTCCAGACTCACTCAAAACGCTTAACCTTCGCAACCGTGTGATCACCATCAAACTGGCTTACGGCCTGAAGAAAATGACAGCAAGCAAAAAAGGACATGCACACCACTGTTCCGCCCATTTTCCACCCATACACAGTCTGGAACACAGTCCATGGCGCTACGGCGCCGCCAGGCACGCCGGTGATCTCCAAAGCCACCCGAGCCCATCCGGGCTTGGCGGAGGCGCTGTGCCGGGGATGTCGCAGCGCCAACCCGGAGTTCCACTTCACCTCCATCCAGGCGCGTCCAGCGTTTGAAGCGGTGGACGGGCAGGACAAGTGGGCCACTGAGGCCGGCGTTTTGGAGGAAGGTTGACTTGAGGTGATGTCCATGGGTTGGTGAGCATGATTTGAGTGGAGGATGGAACAATCTAATCTGGATTGTTTTACCACTATTAGACAAGTGGTGGTGATGTACAAGAAACAGGCACAAATCTAGGTGAGATTGTTTCCTTTCAGGCATGATGAACCTTTGGTCGTCCTTTCTCCCGCTTTCACTTGTGGACATCATGTTTGCCCATCCGGTTTCGTGTTTGAGCCCCCGTTTCCTGGACCCTTCGTCTGACCTTGTTGTTTCGTTTCACATGAGCACCTGACGTCCTTTGTTGATGCATCGCCAGTCGCTCCTTCATTGCCTGACATCTGTTTACTCCGCTTCATGGCCCCCAATGTTCAAGCTCAGCTTCCCACAATAGTGCCAATGATGGGTGATGTGTGTGTGTGTTGTGGTGATAGCAGCACGATCAGGTGAACCTGAACACAAAGTATGGCAACTTGGCACTCTATCTATGGTTGCGATTTTTTTCCAATCATCAGAAGCTTTGAGGTTGATGGGATCACCTATACTTGTAATTTGGATCCCGAAGATCACCACTGACCTGATCCTTCTCAGGTCAACTACATGTTTTGATTCTGCCAGGATTTGGTCAAAGCATCAAGGATGTGTTCTCATGAACTTTGCCTTTGTTTCTAATTGGAGCTATTGGACTCTGACCACCACACACCTCGTTGCGCCCCCGTTGCGGCTGCATCAAAGCCGATGGTTGAGAGTGTTTTCTCGACCATCGAAGCCGAGGAATGCACACGGACGGCTTCGATGCTGGACCTAGTCGTATGATTGTCGCTGGGCATTCATGGATGGCGCTGGCCGCCGCGATGGCCGCGGGTCGCATCACCTTGTCCTCTCCTTGTCTTTCTAGTAACAAGTGCATCGCTTCTAGGAACAAGTGCCTTACTAGTAGTAACAAAAAGCCATTAGAATTAAAGTGAAATTAAGTTTAAATTAATAACTTCTTGTTACTAGTAAGGCACTTGTTACTAGTAGCGTCTACAATGCCAAAAGTATCGGACAATGCCGGAGGAGTGAGACTCAAGGCAGCACCCACTGTGGGTCGAGACATGCAATTGAGTGGATCATACGGTTGGTGTTCATGGAAGGCGCTTAAATCACAGACATCATAACAAATCATAAAGGTCAACAACTCTCATGTGCTCATCAGGTAGCTATGCCTTTCAAGATTCCTACAAAACTTGATGTGTACAGACGTGTAAGCCACCTGCCCCTGACCATCTAAACAGGTTCTTGGATCGCCAACCAACGACTCGCTTGAGGCCTTGGGGAACTTCTCGAAAGGACACCTTTGGCTCCACGACTGTCGGAGAAATCACTGGAGCCTCTTGGCGCACGTTGGTGACATGCGAAGAAGTGGCTTGTCCGAGTAAAGAACAGCTATAGCTCCATAAGGGTACCATCCACAGCCACCGGTCAAAGGAAAACTAGAAATTAAAGCTTGGGGTGTTGTCTTGTTTTCCTGAGCCACATCCAAACAGAACGTGGGCACCAGAAAAGGCAATTTGACTTGGCTTCCGACGCGCCCAACCGGCCGCGCCGACTGGTCCACACCGCGCCGCGCCGCAGCGCCAGGTCTGGTGGACGTGCGGAACACGTGGATCGCCTTCGACGGGCGAGAGTTCCACCTGACCGAGGCGGCGCGAGAGAAAGAGGAACCGTGGAGGTTATCCAAGTGGTTTTTTATCGATGCAGGTTGTTTCATATCCAGAGGGGTTAGGCGGGTTAGGTTCTTGAAAGTGGAGGAAATACAAACGTTTTTCCAAACGTCTCGTTCTTGCGGGTGCCCCTTGCTGAGAAAGCCCAGAGGTTTGTGTGTCCGATGCGTTCTCCAACTGTCTTGTGAAATTGTGTTTGTTGTGAGACAGCAAGGGGTGCCAGTGCTTTGACCCATGCCGTTCCCAGTCCAGACGCATATGGGAATGGTTGCATATCAAAAGGATGAGTGTGGGGTTTGGACACACAATCACCTCGACGACAAGGGGATGCCGTATAGTCAGCCCAAGGAGTATCGGATATACAGATATACATATTTGTCATTCTTTCCAGTAGAGCCAGGTGCTCAGCAGCTCATGTTCTTCTGGTTTCTCAAAGGCACCACTCCATCATACTACGCATCATCCACTAACTACATGGAGTGGTGAGTGGTGCCTTCCCCACACCATGCACTGCACCATCCACTACACGTGGGCTCGAAGAAAACACACCGCTTCTCTCCCCCCATCCTCCTCCGGATCCCAAAAGTGTCGCATTGACGCAGCGAGGACTGGGAAGGTCCGGAACGTTATAGCTTGGTCTTCTTCACCAATCACCTCTGGGACGAGCTCCTTCCCGAGGTGCAGAGGGCTACGGCGTGCTACGGCTGTGAGGGTATCTGGGGGTGTTCGCGGTTGAAGAAACGTACGGTTGACCGTTGACCCCACGAACCGGAGGGGTTGATATGTCTCAGATAGTAATGCGTTCTCTACGTGGTTGTGCTTCACAATCTTTAAGAACTCAGCTGCCTCCCAAGTCTTTTTGGACTACAACTTAAGCATGCACGAATTATAAATGAGCAGAGACAAGTAGAAAGAGCTTGAGCACGGGCACTATTTTTCCTCTTAACATATCCATTTGTGGGTCAGTTGGAACACAACCAGTTGTGGCTTCTCCTTTTCAGTTGTGGACCAGTTAGCCTCTGTAGTGCTGAACACCAACAATCATTCGAATGGTCGTGACCTTTGAGATGTTCATTGGTGTCCTTCAGACCGATGTTTTCCAGGTCAATATAATATAATATCCATTTTGTGCCGGATGTTCTATCAACGGAACTCTGTCTCCTTGTCTATAGTAGCTTTGTTCATCCGTTTTCATCCTCCACTTAGGATGCCCCTCCAACGCTAACATCAACAACCAGCTTCTTCAACTTGACCTTTTGAAGCCCCTAAGTGACCTTCTCCAGGCCCAAGCGACCTCAAACCAGATCTAATTCGGTCACGAACGAAAGAACCATGCAGATATATACACCTGGCCGCCAGACCTCGCACACACCGGCGGGGGAGGCTCAAACACAGCTGCTCAACCTGGGCTTTCACTGGCCTCGTGAGAGTCACGTCTTCCGCGAGGACGGACGGCCACTGAGGGCGTTTCGGGCTCGACGAGTGAAACGTGACTTCACGGCTACTGCAAGTTGCTGCTATAGACTTTGCAAAGTGAGACTTGAAGGGGTCCTCCAACGAAGGCATATCTCTTTTTCTTCCGCAGACCAAGCATCCAACTTCGTCTAAGTTCGCCTTCGTTGTGAAAAGGAGTTGGAGTGGCCGGACCGACGGCAGAGATCTGCCTTGAGAAGTTGGAGGCCGAGACCATGCCCAGACGCGGAGACGGACGGAGTCGCCGGAGTCGCTGATGTCCTTTAAGGGGTCATCCTAAATACCTTTAACCAGTCATCCTGAATATATTTGCATTTTTGTAGAGGTAAGGTTCTTATACTAATTAGTATAAGGTATTGGGGAGGAGAAACTTTCTTTGGTGGGGGAGTTGCTCTTAAGGTTTTATACGAATCGAAGCATGGGAAGCCGTGTGGTGAGCTTTGGTCATACAAGAGGTGTCCGTTCCTTCGAACAAGTTCCCGCTGTGGTGACAAGGTGGCAGGACCTGTGTCGTTTCCATGAATTGTCTTGAGTAATGTTACTACTAGTAAGGCACCTGTTCCTAGTAGCATGGCACTTGATACTACTAGCTTCTTGTTACTACTAGTAAGGCACCTGTTCCTAGTAGCGTGGCACTTGATACTACTAGCTTCTTGTTACTACTAGTAAGGCACTTGTTACTAGTAGCGTGGCACTTGTTACTGCTAGCTTCCATGAATTGTCTTGAGTAAAATAACGAAAACAAAGGAAGCAGAAACGAACGGAGGTTCCACTAAGGAACACAAAGAGCCACCCGGCAAGGAGAATTCTTGGTCTGAGATTTTGGATCCTGCTTTTCTGTTTGGTCAAGAGATTGCTTTGACACTCAATGTTGCCCATGTAATAGCATTGGCTGGCATGAACACAGAGCAAGAAGGCAAAAAGTTATCTGAGGGAGAGTAGTGAGTAGTGCTTAGGGAACCAGCCATCAACCTTGTGCAACAGGATACGTTTTCTCATCATCCTTTCGACTAGTTCTCTTTCTTTGTTCTCTTTGTGCGTTGCAATAATTGGTGAGAACTTTGTTCCAAAGTACAGGTGTTCGGGTAAAACTGCAGTGTCAAATCTCCGAAAAGCAATGACCACCGGGCCTTTTGGCAGCTGCTCCGAACCTACAGGCGCTCACAGCTCACCTTCCGCTGGCGGCGCAGACTTGCGATGCTGAGCGATGCCTTCCAAGGCCTTTCGATTTGGACCAAAGGGGATGTCGAGTGTTGACAAGGATCTGTGAGAAACTCCCTGCCCACAATCTACAACTTCTACGCGGACCTTGAAGACGAAAGCTCTTTCTCACATGGTTGTAGGTTAAGTCTTTGAGGTGCCATAATCAACCATCAGCATCTTAAGAGCAGGCTGAAGCAAAATATGAATATTGCAGACGTTTGAGGGTCACTCGTTGCTCATTTGTCAGAATCAAGTTTCATCATTTACACCTAGTTCGAGCCAGAAGACCTTCTATTGGCCTTCCACTTGCAGTAGATCCTAGGGATCTCTTTCCAAATATGAAGACTCTGCGGTGGTGTTCCCCTTCGCTTGTCAAAATCGTCCCAAAACAAAAGCGACCGATCTATATAGGTCAAGAAATCTCCAAAGAAATCACTCTCATGTTCATCTTCTCCTTCACGCCGTGCCCACCAAGTCATTTGGGTCGAACCACATTTCGGTCTCCACCTTCTACAGCCCTGGCAGGCGGAACTCGCTGGATGCGGAGCTGGAACAAAAGTGGTGCAAGTTTCCCCGGGCTGGGCCTGTTCATTGGACCATTGTGTTTGTTTGAATGTTATGGTTTTTGCAGTTGTTCATGAGTCAACATCTCCCGAACGACCATGGATTGGCCTTGTGAGCAGTCCGTTGGGTCCCTGTGGTGTCACCAACGCTGGCTCTAAGCCAGGGGCCAGTGGCAAGCTGAACGAGGCACGGGCCAACGAAGCGCGCACCGTGCCGAAAGTGTTTTTCCCATCGGCACTCAGCTTGGGGAATGCACCGGGAAGAACAAATGCTATAGGACCTTAGGGAAAGACTGCCAGTGAGATCATCCAGGTTGAGCCCGTGGTCTCCCTGACACCTTCCAGGACAGCTCCCGGATTTCCGCTCCGCATCATTTCGATTCACTGGGATTGATGGATCTTCGGGATATCCATCCACCATTTGGGGAGATCATGTGACCATGTGAGTGAAGGGCCTTCCTAAGCTGCCAGCGCAATAATCGCAGTGCCAAGAACGCTTCCAATCGCGGTGCCCTTGTTTCATGGGGATAGGTGCCCCCATCATGTTGGGCAAAGGGGTCCTCACATGGGCTGGAGGGGGGCTGAAGAAAGGATGATCCACCCTTTACACAGCTAAGTGATGCAAAAAAGCATGTCCTATAGGACGTTTGGACTGATCCTCCCCACCCAGCAACAGTCCAAGAACATCCCATATAAGACCCACGTGTTCCCTCTTCGGACCGAGCTGGGTCTCGTCCCGTAGGTGAGGGAAGAAACAGCCAAGTCCACCGCGCGGTGCTGGAGGCGACGGTGTTGGAACGCACTTGGAACGAATAGGCTTCACTTGGTCACCCAAACTCGGACAGACGGAGCAAAAGTCAAGCATCCACATGGATTCTGCAAGCCAAAAGTGAAGAAGTCATACATGAGTCCGAGTGAACGTGGAGCAGACTGACACAGCAAATTGGAGCAAGAACGAAGTGAAAAAGTGAAAAGAGAACGCTGGATCCACCGGACTCCATCGTCCTCAGCGTCTTGGTTCTTACGGGGACGCCCGTCATTTCCGGCCGATCCGCGCCATGCTGGGCCGCGCGGCGCTGGTGCTTGTGCTGATCACGGCGGCCGTGGCCTGGCGGAATGAGTCAGAGGACTCCATCCTCTTCGTAAGAAGAACATCCAGCCCTTGACCCAGTCATAAACCAATCATAAACAGGACCCAAGCTTGCAGCAACTTGGGAAGACTATACTTTTGACCCAAACCTGGATCTCCAAGTAGACTCAGTTTGTAGACTCACAAGCACCAGAGACCAACAGATCGCCCCTCCCTGAGTCCCTCGCGCTGTATTGGTCTTCGGTCGGACTCGCCGCACCGTATTCGGTCCAGGCGGAAGAGCTCCCGGAGGTCGCGGAGGTCTGTGCGGCCTGGATGAAGGAGGACTTCGGAGGGGTTTTTCGCATCGGCTCGGGAGGAGCAGACTCCTTGGGAGCAAAGCAAACAGTACCAAACGGCTCGCTTGGGAGCAGGCGATGGTGCGCGAGGTGAGGTGATAATTACTTGTTGTATTGCACGTAAAAGCGAGTGGTTGTGTGCACCATGTGTCATAGAACCAGCCGCTATGGCAATGGAACAAGTGGAGCCACTGAAACCTTTGTTGGATTTGCATGCTTTCGACACTAGTTTGGTCTACCAAACCCTTTTGCCCACTCATTGCCATCGGCACAGTTCATGAGCGCTTCGGGTGAAGCAATGCTTGACGGAAGACCTGGTCAATCAAGGACATTGATATGAGGATGATCCCAGCATCCAGAGAATCCCCAGCTTCACCATGCAGCAAACCGCACAACCACAAGAGCAATGTCTGAAATGGCATCACATTCAAAAGATACATGAACAAAGTAACAAAGCTCATTAGCTTCCAGTAGCATCCAGTCCATTAGCAAAAGACACTAACTGTGTTTTTGTTTAAACTCATTTTGGACGGTGTTTGTTCCCGGATTTCTTCGCGCCGTCCCAACCTCCTCAGGCCGCAGGCGCTGCAGCCGAGTGCTCGGAGGAGGCCTTGGAGCTCTCACAGCTGCGGGCGAAGAAGCAGAGGCGACGGCCGGTGGAGGGGACGTCGGGGGGAGAATCTGTTTTGAAGTGTTTTTGGAGCCACCTGGTCTTTTGTTGGAAAGTGCAAGAAGTAAACAGATGAGTATATCGTTGCACTGAGGCGAGTATGTCAAATGTAGTGTCAGCAATGTGGTATTTCTGTGCAGGTTCCACTGACTGGAAACTTGATTTACTCCAACTAATGGTGCTCAACCAGAGGTTTTCAAGGTTGGCAAGAAGAGATTGTCCATCGACTGAGGAGTGAGGTCAACGAGAGCGTCACCAACGAGACGGTCTCACATGAGGAACCTTGGTGCTCGTTGCATGGAGGAAATCATACTTGTTAAGTGGGTCAAGGAGGTAGATCATTTCCGACTTACAATGGGCCTTTGCGCGAGAAGCTGTGTGTATGATTGAAAAGGAATATGCAGTATGCAGCAGACACCTTGTGCCAGCAAAAATATGTTCAACAAAATCCTTGCTTGTTCTCTCACCCCCAATAAAATACTGCGGGCACGTGTTCAGTCACAGGGTTAGATGGTTGTAGTTTTGAGATTCGGCTGTAACACCTGTCGGATGATGAGGATTGCCTGGAGATTTTTCTCGCCGCGCAACCCGAATACAACGAGACGCCACTTTTGAAGTCCAGCCAGAGCTCTGGGCATATTCGACACGGTGGCAACATCAGATATTTGCATCTCGGCAGATATATGAGTTGGGTATAGCACGTGCGAGTGATGTGGTGATTCTTAAATATAGAACATACTGCATTTCAGCTATGGACATACAAGTTTGTTCCCCACTACTTCGGCTTGTTGGACTCTTTCTTGCGCTGCATTTGAATCTCCGGTCGAGTTTACCGATGGCACTTTCGTGGAATGGCACTTCACAAGGAATTTCACGGTCAAAAACATCTGGCGCCTCCCAAGACAGAGAGAGGATGTCCCGATTTGTCCTCGTCATGGCAAGTCTTCCAAATGTGTTCTTTTCAGAAACCTCTTTCGTCAACTAAGCAACTAAGACATACTAAGACCATTCTTTAAAGATCTCTCATCTCCCTCCGGCAGGTCGACACAGCTGCTCTTCAGCTCTTCCGCTTGCCCGCTTGCCCCTCTCCTCTTCTCCGCTTGAGGTATCATCAGACCAGCACCTCCGCGGGTCCCAAGATCTTGAACGGTGGCTTTCGCCCCTTGGGTTCACGAACGGAGGCGAGCGGGTCGACTCGACCGGAAGAAAAATGACCCGTCAAAGGGACGGGAAGTCTGGGAGCTTGACCGAGCAAAGACCCGGTGCCAGGAACTTCTGATCTTCAGTGCAGGCACCTAGACGTATGTCTAAGATTCAGTTTTCATCACTGCTTTGCCGTGGTGGGCGTGATGCTTTGCCAGGCAGCAACGCAAGAAAGAAGAGTGGGCTATGTAGATCGAAAAAGGCCATGATGAATAGGCAGATAGATACACGTCATGTCGTAGGAGTTGCATCATGTAATCTACTTCCACTCTTTTGACACAAGCACGAAGTTCGCCCTAGGGCGTTAGGAATCAGTGGTGGTTTGGGCATGTTTGGGCTGTTGGCCTGGAGAATGTCTTGAAATCCCTTCACGTACAGGCGGTTCAAGGCCAGGTTCCCACCAACCTTATCTACCCAACCACTCCCCAAATCCAACTCAACATCGTAAATCATGACCAACTATGACTTGCAGTTGTTGTTTTGGAAGCAGTTCGGACAACCTCAACCGTACCTGCCACCTTCGAACGTGGTCAAAAAAATCCATGTGTGTACTATTGAGGACGAGGACACATCGGCTGGTGCGGCGGTGGTATCTATTTCGCATTGAGCGCATGGTCCACCTATCACAAAGCTGTGGGTCTCCTGGCAGCATCGCGGTCGACCGGTCCCCGCGGTAGACGGGACGTGATCGGGCGATCACCACAGCCTTCTTGGGTTGGTCATGGGTGTCCCCGGAAGGATCCGAAACGATGGTCCGGGATGAGCAGACAGTGGAACATTCAGTGGTTTTGTTGGTGCTAATATGTGGGGGGGTGGGGGGGTGGCTATTTATGTGACGGCATATCGGTGGTGAGCACTTGCCTTGTTTCCTCATCCGCTGCTTCCGTTGGGTGCTTGGTTTCTTTTGGATCTGCTGATGACTACGTAGATCAAATCCAAACTAGATCAACATCGCGCATGAGGGTGACAAAGACACTGGCCAGCCTGGTCATTCATCTTAGCGATGCTTTCCGATGTGTCACTCGTGAATCGTTCTGCCGTGCCATTTGCTCGCGGATCTGCGAGGACTGGACTCTGCTCATGGCTTCATCATTGAGGCCAAGGTGGATTTGGGGCGAACGAAGTACATGCCCGCTTACTGTGCCTCGCCAGAGGCATGGAACAGTACATCAGTACGTTCTCCTTTGTGACACCCGAGTGAAAAAAGGCTGGTGTGTGTTGAGTGACCGGGAAGTGTCAGTTATAGAGCTCCAGTTAGAGAGAGGAATGAGGAATAAGCTGACGAGTTTCATTTCGTTGTCCGAAGGCTTGTGCTGTCACCATTCTTCCAATCGAACATGCCTCCTCTTGAAACTGTCCATCTAACACCTCACCACCTCACCATAAACTCAAACCTAGAAGTAGAACCGTTTCGCTTGATCCAGCTGGGCTCCGACGCCCATCGTCCCTCCGGCTGAAGGTACCTCTTCTCCCAGATGCTGGGGAATTGGAGTGCAGCAAGCGATTCGATGCATTGACCGGTCCTATCAAGGAGGCCACGGTGGTGAGGTTGGTCCTTGGTATAGATTGAACGGTGAGGTGAGAGTTCTCGCATAAGAGCCTTTCACAATGTGAGCCCACATTGTTTGGAGCATCAGATGAAGCTTTCTCTACTTTAAAGATCTAGAATCTAAAGTTTGTTTGTTTGCCTTGAAAGGTAATCTCTAGAAAGCCTTCTTGTAGCACATTCGACCCCAAGCTGGCCTCCAGGTCAATTCCAATCGGAGGGACGCTTGGCCCGATGAGATTCAAGTCAGATTTCTTCGGTTTGGGTCTATCTTTTTGGTCCATGTCCCAAAATCCCGGAGAAGCCATGGCCTGGTCATGCCCTTGCCTTGCTACTGTGTTGTTCGGGGCAAAGAATCTGCTTGAACTCGCCTGTTGAGAAGGAGCCGAAAAGCCTGACCTCCGCACCGATTCCGCCGGTCTTATGGGCCAACACTGCGTCATAAGTGATGTTATAACACTGCCTTGTTTCTACTAGCTTCTTGTTACTACTAGTAAGGCACCTGTTACTACTAGCGCGGCACTTGCTCCTAGTAGCGTCCTTGTTCCTAGTAAGGCACTTGTTTCTACTAGCTTCTTCCTTATGTTTCATCCTTAGCTCTGTGTGAGTCCGGTCGCTCTCCGAAGAGTTCATGTGTTCCAAGCGTCTTCCAGGGAGCGCCTCCCTTTCAAAAAAATCATCCTCCAATTCCTTTAATTAGAAAAGGTAATTACTAGCTTCTTGTTACTACCAGTAAGGCACTTGTTACTACTAGCGATGCACTTGTAATTACTAGCAAAGGAATCTAAATTCCTCGTTTTTGGCGTCCACACATCTTCGTCTCAGTTTCTTGGTCCCGAAGCACGAAGCACTTGGGCACCTGAGGATATGACTCGATCTACTTCAACCCCGGAGACGGTGGAGAGTTCATGATTTGGGATCCGTCCCGGGTGCTTTCCATGAGAAGAGTAGGTTAAAGAGCTGAAGGAAGTGACTTGGTGAGGAGGATTTTCCAAGGTCGAAACAGTTGTGTGGGGGGGCGTTGGCATGTAATTGTATGTACTCAGTACCTAGTAGCGACTATGTCCCACTCGAATGCGCCAGGGTCTTTGGTTTGAAGAAACCGCCCTCGCTTTCTTCCTCGCTTTTACTTCTTCAGCCCACGACGTTCGGCGTTCGATCGAAGTGTGTCACACCCGTGAAAGCGAGACTCAGACGAACCTAGCTTGACGACGTTACGGGTGCTTTTTTTGCACAGCAGAAGGCTGTTCTAAGCACAAACGTGGTAGCTACCGACATACCTTTTCTTGTTGTTGTGAGTGGATCGCCTGAAGAATGCTTTCCAGATGTCATACAATCGCGACCTTTTGATTTGGCATGATATCCCAAAAGTGGTGTCTATGCCTGAACGCCATCAATGCAAAGACATAGCAAACAGATGAGAGAGAGGGACTGTTTTCTTGCATCCCTTTTCGGTTTTAGTCTTGAAGATCAGATCCGATGGATTCTTCCACTTCAACCGGAGAGCTCATTCGGCTTTTCAACTGTTCCGCTTCCGAGCCTCTTCTGTTCACAGGCCACTGGTCTCCAAGCTCATTCCACGTCACTGGATGAACGTCACCGGCCCGGTGCGGAGCCGGAAACCGGCAGCTTTCGGTGGTCTGAAGGATGGCTCGGCGGGGGGGGGTTTTGAGATTTGAGGTTCAACCCGCCTTGTTCAGGCAAGAAACAGGTAAGATGATGCTTGCAAGGCTAAGGTGAAGTGGTTTGAAGCCAAATGACTGTTCCAAACCCTCTTCAATTGGACATGACGTCTTCCAAGGAGATGTTGTGGAAGCTTCATTTGGAGGGTTTGGGTTAAACGGACTATAAACCCTTCGATTGGACGGTTTCCCTGCACAGAATGAATCTTCAAACTCACTGCATGTCACTCAAAAAGACTTTTTGCACATCGAACTCGCCAGGCAGAAGAGGTGGTAAGACGCTATCAGAGCCAGCCCCGGTGGCTTGTGCCTTGGCCAAGTGATGAATGCGGGAAAACAAGTTGTGTCTCCTTCACCGCAGAGAAAGAAATGAACGTGCCATTTCTTCAGGTAGCACCTATCTGCTCAGGGGTCCTCGCCCTTGCCGCCATGACCTTGTCCCACTTGGCGTTTGTATCTCCATCCAAGTCATGAGTTGTCCAGAGAAACCGCTGAAAGAGCAAGTCAAATACCAATCCTTGTTTGGTCCTCGGCGGGATCCGCGTGCAGACAACCCGGCTCACGTGTGATTTCACCATAGTTCACCTCCTATTGGTTCACATTGTGAACCTGAGGGGGCACGAGGAAAAGACATGAAGAAAATTGAGGTGATTTGTCTCGGGATTCTTCTCGTCCTCAGGACGCTGTGGACCGTTTGGTGAACGCCACCTTGGTCGTTGCCTGAGAAAAGACCAACTGCAGAGCTGCAAATGAAGCTTTCAGACCCCGTAGGGCAGAGCATGTGTCTCCCTCGTTTTGTCGTGACATCTCATGGACCGCGCACGTGCCCACGTGCCCACGCGCCTCGCCAAAAGCCCAGTTGGATGCCACGGGCGAGACGGCTCCGCAGATGGTCCACCGTGGCCTGGAGCCTCGGCACGGCCCTCCTTCAGCCCGGTGGTCGGCAGCGAAGCTCAATGCTGTTCAGAGTGTCAAGCGAAATAGCCTGCTAAAAGCATAGAAAGCAAGGTATCCTCTAAGATGAGAAGAGACAGTATCCTGGCTCTTAGTGTCATTTGATAAAAGCAAGGTGTGGCATGAGATTGGGGAATGTTAGGTGGTTTCTTTTCCACAGCGAGAGATGTTACTTGGTGTCTCACCCATCCCACTTAGGACCATCCCCAGATCTGCAAATGCGAAGAACACTGCAGTTTCGGTGGGACCATCACACAAAAGCGGCCTCTTTGACGGCAGGTTTCGACGAGTTCTTCCCCATGCCGCAGCTCCACTAGACCTTGGGTAGACCGGGCAGGCGAGGGGGAGGTAGCTATGTGCCATAGTGTAGCATAGCATACACTCATGACGGTTCATGCTTGATCGAAGTGCGTTCCACTGCTTCCATTTGCAGACCGACCGATGGTTTGAAGATGTTTCAGGATCTGCAGAATGTCCTGTTAATACTTCATGTGTTGTAGAGTGCTAGGACATGCTTGTGCCATTTTGTTCAACTCCCAAGAATAAACACGGTAATTGTAGTTTATCGTCAGAGGCCCACCTAGGCGAACAAGAATCCATTCACCTCCCTTCGGTGCACCGTCGAGAGGTGCAGTGAGTCATCCGGGAGGGGAGCAGCCGCAGGGATGACCGGCAGCACTTCGGGCCCAAACGGCAGCCGCCACCGAACAAAGTCAAGACCAATCCGGAAGACCGAAAGAGAAGAAAGGAATGAGGAGGAAGAGGAGGATGGCCAAAAACCTTTTGGAGATTTTGCTGTTGAAAAATTGAAGAAATCTGAGAAATCTCGGGCCTTTGGGGATGTTGGACCTTTTGGCTCAGTTGGATCTGGAGTGCTGAGTGGCATACGCTGTGAGAAACAACAGCGTACCCACGCATAAGCGTGAGGAACCAGAGCACTGCCGGTGAAAAAAGAAAAAGAGGTCTCCGTGTTCATTCAATCTTTTCTCGCGTAACGTTGAAACCATAATTTCGAAAGGAGAACTTCTCATTCTTTTTGCAACCAGATGTGGCCATAGATGGGCAACAGCTGTGCCTGAATCAAAGTTTGATTGACCAAGCAGTGGCACACGCTATTCGACCAGTCTCGGCTCAAGACTGGCAAGATGCCAAGTCTTACCAGAGATCATGCCATTGATTGGGTCGTTCGCTATGGAAAGGCTTGGAAAGAGCAGAGTGTTCCAGGTATCCTAGGTCTTTTCACTGATGCTCAGATGCAATGGTGTTGACAAGAGAAACGCTTGCCATGCTCCGCATGGACTGATTGGACAAGCATGATATCGTCCAGATTCCCAGTCTCTGCCCTACAAGAAAGGGATTCAACGGGGTCCGTGCCGGTTGGTCCCTGACCATCGCTTCTTGATGTTTGGTGAATACATCGCCGCATTAAAAGTGTTGTCTCAAACAGATCACCCGAAAGCATAGTAGAGACGCACATGCTCTCAGTTCATCGTAATTCGTGTTGAAGGTCATTACTGCTGAACTGATTCTACTCTTGTTAACGGAAGTTGGGAGTTTAACTGGAAGTCTTGGCACTTGACTGCCCGAAGTCTGTTGTTGCTTCATTTGTCTCCTAGGTCTTTCCAAGAGTTGCCTTGCAAGTTGCCGAAATGAGCTAGACCTAGGGTTCTTTAACAGGTTGTTGGTCAATCATCCACTCGGTGAATGGAAAAGCATCCCTCCTCTACTAGAGTCAGGCTACTATATAGCTAAAATTCTTCCAGGCGTCTTCACAAGACAACGCATTTGGCCTGATCTCGTCACTCATCGAGAAAAGATTGCTACAGGACAAAAAGTACCCAACACGCCAACACGCATATCCTGTCACACGTGTCATTGTTTCCGGGTGGTTTTCTTCGTGAAAAGCCATGAGCATCCATGAGCCCAAATGTGAGGAAGACGGCGAGTATGTGGAGCGTCCCTATGACCCGGAGAATGGCATCTATCGAGGTCATCCAGGCCTTCGGTCCTGAGAGTCCGGACTCAGATGTTCGCTGCGGAGTCGTTTGAGAGCCAAGTCCTCCACCCCTACCCACACCTTGTGTCCTTTACTCTGGGATCTCTGGGCTGCTGACGCTTGTCGCCGGTGTGGGGGTCTGGTCTCCAGTGTCGAACATGAGTCGGGGTTGGGGGAGAAGAAGAAGGTCTGAAGCTGGTTGGATGTGCGTGAGGCATCGAGAAGTACTGGAGCACTCACATCCAGGGCCGTGAGCGCAACGTGGAGTTCAAGCACTTTCCCGAGGAGCGAAGCCCGACCGGAGACGCGCGGGTTTGCGGGCTTCAAAGGGGGGGAGAGGAAGGGGTCCAAGTGCGGGGTTGCGTTTCTTAGCCAAATGGCCCAGAGTGCGTCCAAGCACCTTCTTCTCCTGGTTCTTGGGATGTTCCTCTTAGATTTTATGTTATTCTGATAAATCAACCTTCCCATCCATCCACCTCACGAAACCGCTGCTGACCGCCGTCAAACGGAAGGACCTGGTCTTGGATGACGCCATGGCCACGGCCGTGGTGAAGTGGGAGGCGCGGTTCGAAGTGCGGCAGAGCGACGAGAAGCCCTGGAAGACGGTGGCCTGGCCAATCGATGCTCGGGGGAAAAACGCATATGCAGAAGAGATTTTTTGGGGGATGCAGAGGGATCCAGTATCGAAGATCAAGCATCTTTTGGTCGGTTCTATGTCGTTTTTATCCGTTGCAGCTTGGTTCTTCATCGAGGGGGTGTTCGGTCGGGTGTGGAGGTTTGGCATGGCAGGTTGCATTGAAAGGATTTGTTCACAATGGACGAAGAAAAGAATCTTTAAAAGAGATGTCATAAAGTTCTGCACTGGCCATTATATCTACAGAGCTCTCCATTTCACTTGAAGTTCTTCAGCGGATCCTCCAATCTTTGACATCACCCATCCGTTGAGCCTTTCTCTTCACCTAGTAGCAAGAAGCTACTAGGAACAAGTGCCACGCTAGTAGTAACAAGTGCCTTACTAGTAGTAACAAGAAGCACAATCCTGCGGATCCTGAGGTGCAATTCCTGCAGATCGCCAAGCTCCGCTTCGCGCCCGACGGCCGCGTTCGACACTTTGAAGAATACTGGCACGCGAGGCGCAGCGCCATGGTTCTTCAAAACAGATCCATTTGAATGATAAATATGTTCTGCAGTTTTTATCTCCATGAATGAACGCTCCTTGCCAGCTCGCTTGGTTTCCAGCCGCCCTCTCCGCGCCTCACGCGAGGTCCTTCCAGCACGCGGCCAAGGGCTTGCGCGACCCCCGGGCGCGGCGGAGCCGCTGTGGGGAAAAGCGAAAGGATCCGATGTTGCGCAGCAGCTGCTGCCGCGAAGCTCTGATGGAAGCGCAGCTGGGGCCCTTTGACCGAGAGGACCCCGGGAGCGGGGGAGGGGTAAAAGAGTGGGGAAATCGAAAGGATTGAGATGAGAGATTCAGAAGGAAGGATGGTTTATAAGATTATATACTATAGAAAAGGCAATGGGTTCAAGAGTTGGGAGAACTTCTTCGAAACAATGGTCTTTGTAGGTTTGGTTCCAAGTTTGACATCTAATTCGTTCCGAGTTTTCTTCTTAGATGAGAAGAGACTAATTGTACATATCTGTGCCCTGGACTCTCGAGGCCCTGCGACTCCAAGCACGCGCCGCCCAGCCCCTCATCGACCGTGTGGGCCTGGCGTATGGAGAAAGGACACAAGTGCCGGTGGTGTACAACGCGTGGCTCGAAGAAGAGTTCGGATGGAACTGACCGTTTCAGATACTAACAAGAAGCTACTAGGAACAAAGGGCATCGCTACTAGGAGCACGGACGCTACTAGGGGCTCCTGGCATCGCTACCAGGAGCAAAGGATGCTACTTACATGTTCTGGTAGGCCTAAGAGGGAGTTGGTTGATCGGACATAGTTGTGGGTCCTCCTTGGCACGCTCTAACGAATCTCTAAAGGAATGTGTTAGCCAGAGGAAAGCGTCAAGGACGGAGCCTTGAAAGCTATGCACTTGTTACTAGAAGCGATGCACTTGTTACTAGTAGCTTCTTGTTACTACTAGTAAGGCACTTGTTACTAGTAGCGATGCACTTGTTACTAGTAGCTTCTTGTTACTACTAGTAAGGCACTTGTTACTAGTAGCGATGCACTTGTTACTAGTTTAATCCTGTCATATATCACTCTATATGCCTTCCCCAAAAGTCCATCTCTTGGACACAATAGCCCGACCACTTCACTGGGTATGGTCGCCTGAGATGCCAAAGCAGTTCATTCTCCCTGTGCCACAGTCATCCCAAGGCTTAGCAAGTAGCTTATTGTTTCTATTTAATTCTTGTTTCTAATATCTTTTTGTTACTACTAGTAAGGCACTTGTTACTAGTAGCGATGCCCTTTGTTCCTAGTAGCGTCCTTGCTCATCCCAAGGCTTAGCAAGTTGAAGCCCTCCGACGCGGACTTTGTGGAATGGTACCGGCGCGTGACCAGCCATCTCGTGGCCTGGTGATGTTTGGCTATCGGTCCTACGTAGTGCCTAACAGGACACCTTATGGACACCTTTCAGGTGTTCCTTGCTATGTTTCTCGACGTGTTTGAAGCAACTTCTGTAACTTCAAGCCATCTCAAGCACCTTTCTCACCACCTTTCTCTCTGAAAAATCCCGGTCTTGTTCTTCCTTCCACCGAGGTGGAGGAGAGCGACATGAAAGGCATCCCCATCGTGCGACCCTCCGGTTCCTTGGCTCGGTACGGCTTAACTATAATTCTATGTATTTAGTATTTCTAATAGTAACAAGTGCCTTACTACTAGTAACAAAAAGCTATTAGGATTAAATTATTCAACGTAATTCTATTTATTGTTTAAAATTGCAAAAATTGTTCCTAGTAGTAAGGCCAGGAGCCCCTAGTAGCGTCCTTGTTCC